TATAAATATTTCTTTATAAACACAACTCAATTCTCCCCCACCGCATAGCAGAACGACCGGGGACGACATGCAATAATTTCATCTAAGTAGACTTCTCAAGCACATTTTTCATTGAGAAAAATAAAAGCTCAAAGCATTTCTTTCGTCGCCCTCTCAGTGGAATAAATGCATTAATCAACTCTCAGCTGCACTCAGATACCTTCGCAATTAATTGGTTCACCGTTAAATGAGCAATTCTTTGGAGTGAGTCAGTGCGAATGGAGTAATGGGCTGTCTGGCCGGCTCAAGGATCATATTGGAATGTCATTTGTAAGATGATATTGTAAGCTTATATCAATTCCCACTATGTCAAGAGTTCGTGGACACAGACGAGCGCCACAAACCACCCACTCAATCTGCTGTGCGCAGAGCGAAAATAAGCAGTGAAATGCAAAGGAATATAATAATAAGTCTGGGATTTGGCCAGTAAGCCAAGGCGGTAGTGCAATTTTTTGCGTTTCGAATTTCAAGTGCACAAAATGTCATTGCAGCGTATGCGGTGCAAGGGGCACAAATGCCGGAATGACTAAGTATTTAAGTACGATAGCAACCCTTCAACGCATGGAAAGTGAATTGCAAGTGATGGCAGTTGTATTTAAGTGCGACTTCGGTTCTGTCTGTCATTAGTCTCGTGCAACTGGCAACACTGCCGGAGTTTGGGGGGTGCTTGGGGAGTTCCCATGCAAAATGCAACTCCGCCAAGGGTTAGCTAGTAACTGTATAGCAAATCGAAAGCAGACAAGGCAGAAAGAACTTAGATGGGAGCTATGAAAGTGAAAAACAATGAAAAGTGGTTAGTAATCAGGATTACTGCAATATATGGGCAGCGTTCGTCTCGTCTAAGCACTCGCCACCTAGTGCCAGTCCGCGTGTAAACTTAGATGCCGCCCGTAGTGGTTGTGTCACGCTTCGTTAAACTAAGTTCAAGCCGAATCCGCACAAGTGCCGCTCGCTGACTTCCCAAATCAACGAACTGACTGACCAGCTGTCTGAAATCACACGCCCCGCACACAAAGGGTGCAAACACGTCAAGCTTCCTAATCGTACCGGCATGCAACAACCAACATGCCGGCCGGCTTTTGGATTATTTTACTCACTACTACTAGTCGCGCCGCAGACCGCAAATTAACTAACTCGAGGTTATGACAAGTTGAAGTGAAGCGGCATGCAACAAATACGTCCATTGTGGTAGCACACAAAAAAAATAAACACAAAGCCTCACCCTGCCGTTAAGCATACCGACATTCGTGGCGTCCGTCGCCGAGCAGTCGTTGGCTTTTCTAAATTTGTTCCAATTGAATTTTCAGCTCCCAAACTTTTTATATCTACCCTGCACACAACCACAGATTCCTCTATTGCTGTATCTGCCTTGTAAGCCGCATAAAAATGTTTAACTGCCCACCCTTGGCGTGAGAATGAAGTTGAAAAATTGAGCTTATGACCAAAAGTTTCACTTCCTGTCTAACTTTAGTAATAAAAGGCGCATTAGAGGCGCCCCTCCACCGCCTGTCGCAATTCCAAGTGCTTTTTTGATGTTATTAAACTATTCAACAGCCAACTATGCCAGCAAGCAAGTGTTGGTCATATGTTGCCAGATCTGCCGCATTGAGCAGCAAGCATAAACGCTGTTGCAGCCACATTAGAGCTCGCCACATCAGCGCTCGGCATCATTTCGTGCTGTAATGCCAACTACTTGCACTAGTGCGGCGCCTAACATGCCACACAAAGTTGCAACTAGCCACTTGCCACAGTAATTAAAACTCCAATATGCCAAGTTGACTAAATGACACTTTGCTCGTTTACTCGTTTGCTCATTAAACTCATTCCGCATGTTGTTTTTGTGTGAAAGTATGAACTTTTTAATATGAATGCGCCTTACAGCTATTTTAGACCTTTTTTAGAATGTTCTTTTTGTTTGAGTTTTATATCAACTTTTCGCTTATCATCCGAACACAAGCTCACAGTAAACGTCCGCAGCGTCCAATAAGTCATTAAGTTATGGGCACTGGCGTTAAGTGCCGACACACCCTCACACATACAAACACTTAGCGCGACACTTGCCATTTCACATGTCAACTTGGCTGCTGTGACGCAGCCAACCAATCAACCAGAAGTGCACAGCGGGGCGAACTGCCTCTCCACCGCCTGTGCTGAATATTGCCAAACATCGTTCTCTTTTTGGACCGTAGTAAAGTGGCGTGCGTTTTGTGGCAACCTTGCTTGGCACTTATTAGATTCAGTTCGCAACTCAGTCCAATAGTTAATAGCTGACCAACTTAGTCACAAGTGCATCTGGGTTGCTTTGGTTAAGTATTTCCAAACTAGTTCGAAGTATTATACTTCAGACATGGGTTTGGTGTGAACTTTTTAACAAGCTTTCAAGAATTTATACAATTGCTTCAGCAGCTTTAAATCTAAAGATATAAGGTTAAAGCGTTTCTGGTTTGCAAGCCTGTTTGTTGACATCTTAGGGGGAAGCTATTTAAATGACGGAAACAAAATCAAATCGATAACATTGTGAGGGTTTCAAGAGAAGCTAATACTGGTTCGAGACCTTAACAGATAAGAAAGATATCTTTGCAGTTACAATATAGTATATGCTTGACTATGAAATAACTCGACATTTGCCACTGTCTGTCTGCTCGTAACCTCCATACAGCTACCATACTCTTGCACCCCCTTTAACCTTTGAAAAAATTTTTGACACTAAATTTTTCCAAACAATTTCTAAACTTTCGAACACAGCCATTTAATTGAAACACTGTATTGTTGGAAGAGCTGAATGTTTTGAAAATACTGAAGAAGTGTTTACATTCACTTGGAAGTGTGCCAAAACTGACAAATACAAACAAACACATATAAATATGCGACGATCTTAATGGGTATCCTTTTGGATTCAAGTCCTTGGTCAATTCTCTGCGCCAGATCCAATCATAACAAAGTTTTTCGACAGACCACAGGGTGGGATACAAGGACATGTGAGCGTATGCATGTGTGTAGCATTTTGCTATGAAGCTATGGCACACTATTTTGCTTGCAAATATTTTTCTCCACTTTTTGTTGTTGGCATTTAGTTAAGCTGAAAGTATGTGTTACTACGAATAATTTGTGCTTTTGATATTTTTCATTAATCCAAGTTAAGTGCAAGCACAAAAGCTTTTGGTTATATAATATTATATCGCAACAGATATGTTTCATATGTTGAATTTACTTAACCTATACTTCTTGAATGAGATATTCGTTTTTTAAAACGAATGAAGAGTAATAAATTTTCAGCAGCTGACGAAGAAGAATTTGGCATATTTTGAATAATTTTGTTGTCTCTATACTTAGAATGCTTGACAAACGGCACAAAGTTTAAGTAAAGAAGGATATTTGCAAAACTCTAAAATAAACATGTGTTTTAATATTAAGCTTTGGGACACTGAAGTCTCAAAAGATTTCAAATATTTCTATGAATTCCTACTTTTCTTCATTTAAGATTTTTTCGAGACAAAAGTGAATACAATCGCTACTTTTATTGATCGTTTTCTTCTGAGTACAGACAAATTTATAATAGATCAAATCAAAAATATAAATCATGTCACAAACATTCAAAAATATACTTTGGGCTAGCATTAGCTTTCCAAGTCAAACGATTTCATTGTCTTAATAAAGCTGGTAGACTTTGTTCCACAATTTTTCAGATGGAGCTTTTCGACTAGGAGGGGACCGCTCCACTTCTACTCGTATTTCCAAATTTCACAAAATTATATCGAAATATCAACCTAAAACTTCTTAAAATAGAAAATTACTTGTTAACTCATTTAAAAAATGTTACCTGACAAATACAACTCTAATACTACAAACTCTAATCCAACAAGATCCCTCTCTGAAGTTTGTATTGTCTTCTCTTACACGTGAGTTTTGTAGGAACACTAAATTTAAACAACTCCGTTAAAAGTCTATACCTGTCCTTGCTAAGCGTCAAAGAGTGTTTATCCTCGAATGGCCTCTCTCTACGTATTTTCCCATGATTTGATATTTGGGAAAAAAAATTTCACTTCAGCCAATGATCAAGTGTAAAGGCTGATTACGGCTACATACTTGCATATAAAACATATATTATATATTTGTTTACAGGTATGTGGGCAGCAATGTTTACACCAACACATATTCCTGCAGGGATAGTATTTACTTTAGGAGATCGTAAAGACTTTTATTCTCTTCGGTTGTGGATATATCTATGTAGGTATATATCTCGATACACAACGGCGAACTCTTATACGTCGGTATCTGTGAGATAGTTTCAGTTGTCTGGTATATTTAACTGCAACAAAACGAAATGCAACATGTCTGACGGATTTCTAGCATTTCAGAAAGCGCTTAGCAAGAACCAAACATACAATACATATATATGTACATATGTAGATATATGTATAACTAGATTCATTTATTTTTATTTACTTTAAACATTTTTGTCATAAAATATGAAAAATTTGTATATGTATAAGTGGAAGTATGTGTAGCACCAACAACTTTTTCTGAAGTATCCAGTTAGTTGCGTGGTAAGACAACCACTCTGCCTACTACAGTGAAGTTGGTCCAACAAATACTACATATCGGTATCTAAGGACCCAATGCATCGATGTGTATGTGTATATATCTGTGTCCTTCCTTCCGTTTGATTCACTTGCGCGTGTGTGTGTGTGTGCAACTCTGCAAATAGTTCGAAGGCAACTTAACCAGAGACAGCTGGCGGTAACAGCTGCCGTTTGGAGTGTGCCCATTAAAGTATCTCAACAAATGTAAACGGATATAGTACGAACACTTGAGCATGCACGCGGCGGCACACACATCGATACACGAACGCACAAGCGCCGCCACTGCAAAGGTATGAAGCAAGGTGCAGCCGCACAGAAAAGCAAAGCAAAAAGCAGAAGATACGCGCAACCGAAATGTTTGAAGCGCTCAGCTGTTTCGCCATGGCTGGCGTATCTGTGAGATACACGGACCACGCGAACAACGGCTCTTGCTCTGCGCAGCGTTGGAACATGTTGCACACGCCGCATAAACAAGCTCTCGAATCGAGCAGCTCAACACTTTGGTTTTGGTATTTGAGGGCCGGCAGCGTGAAATTCACAAACAGTTGCGTGCGGAACGCGAGCGAGTCTATAGTGGTTCTTTGAATACGGATTGTTTGTGGTGGAGTGTAGTAGCCAAAGAAGTATCTGAAATCCGAAAGCGGATATTGGCGAACGAAAATTTAAGCATAAATATAAATTAAATAATTTTCACAAAATTGAGCAACTTAATTGAAATAAGAAAAAGCAGTTCGGCAGCAGCACTCAGTGGTCGCTAGAGCAACAAACACAGCGTGAACGAAATGAATTGTTCATCGAGGAATATCAAAAGAATTAAATAAATAAAAATAAATTTGGGAAATAATTCACTCAAACGCACAACAACATTTATTCAACGATTTCCCTTTCACTACGCCTACGAAATTAATTAGAAAAAACAACACAACAATAAATAAAAAAAGCAAATCTCTTTCAAAGAAAAATATCAAATCAGAATTAAAAATAACAAAAATAAAGGCATGACAAAGCCGCATGCATAAATTATAGCAAACGTTTATTGTGTCTATGTGTGTGTACATTAATGTGTGTAAGCAAATAAAAATTTCAACTAAAAGTGCAAATAAACTAACTGTACATTTAGCAAAGGCAGCGAAAGAAAAAACTCAGCGCCCAAGCAAATGAAAGCGAGCAAATTCACAACAACAACAACAAAAGTTATAGTATCCATTTAATAAGGCGCATGTGAATTTGGACGGTATATAAGAACGACAACAACAATAAAAATACGCGCACACATATTTAATAAATTTAGTGAACGTTTTTTTGTTGTTGCAAAGCGGTGGTGCAAACGGAAACTCAACGCACGTAAGCGCACCGAAGTGATTGCCCGGTGACAACAACAACAGCAAACACAAAAACATCGTGGTCAAAAGGACTTGTGTAGTGTGTGACAACAAAAGTGCAACAACAATAACGTCATTGCCACAAACAACAAATACAGAAAAAGGCGTGCATTAACGGTAATATAAAAGCAACACAAAGAGAAAAAGCAAAATAAACGCAACTTGTGAGCAGACGACAATAAATGAGCGTGTGAATGAAAATTTGTTGCAAAAACAACGAAAAAGCACACATTTCGGATTAAAGCAACAACAAGGCAGACATATAAATTGGTGAGTTGATTTAAGTGCTTCTAGATTTAATAATTGCCTGTGATTTATGATATGTGTGGGCGCTGTGGTACTGAAACAAAATCGGATGTTTGGAAGAGAATTTCACAAGGAATAGCAAAAGTTTTAATTTAAATAATATATCACTAATACTTTATGCTGCTTTGCAGGGTTTACTCTTAAACGACTATTTGCAGTTGCAAAAGCAGCAACAGCTCGCTTTTTCCTTAATTTGGACAGAAACATAGTTCTTGCTGCCCTTTTGCCTTTCGACAGATTTTCACCAATAGCACGCACATTTCATAGAGAAATGCGGTCTCGATTTTTTATTTCGATTTCCCCACCGTTTCTTTATTGTTCTGGCATTATTTGCTTGCAATGTTGCCCCTAATGACAACTGAGGTCGCGCGTCTTGAAGCGCAATCAAAAGTGTTGCACATTAAACCTCGAGGCCACGTTTACCACATTTCCCACATATACAAACACACATAGACTACCCACCTGCTTAGCTGACACTCGATAAAGCATAGCAAGTGTAGGCAATAAAAAATGCAACAACAACAGCAACAGCGGTTTTTGCAGCCTACACGCAAATTCCTGATTGCATGCTACACACCAACAAACTCGTGTGCTAGTGCAAAACTGTCACCAATGAGCATCAGCAAGATTATTGGAGTGTTTACGAGCGGCGACAATGTTGCAACATGCACAAGTGTAAATATGTATATATGTGCACGCAAATGCCAAGCGATCGACCTGGTCGCATTGTTGTTATTGGTGGCGGCAATGGCGGCGACGGTAATAGCCATTATGCGTTTATTGACTCGTTCAAAAGCGGTCGATGCGTTCCATGCGATTATTGGCGGAAGACACTCGATATCAGCCAAATGCGGCATATGTGGCTTGAGTGTGTGTGTGTGTGTTTGTGAGTGCGCAAAAACAAATTGCTAATGCGCGGAAAATGCAAATAATCGCTTATAAAAAATATAGCAATCATAAATATAATGAAAATGTTAATTCTCACAGCGGCGCACACATGTTGCAAGCTAGCTGTTGCAATACTCATTTGTGGCAATTGTGCTGCTTTCACGCTGTTAGGTCGGTCAACCGTTCGTTTGGCCGCAGCAATTGGCGCGCTGCAAGAACGGCCAAAGGCGTTTGTGCCGCCGGCTGATGTACGTGCAACTGCTTAGCGGTAACTAACCATCAATGCCACTTACCACACATCACATTCATACTTGCGCATAATTAGCAGGAAGTTGTGCATTCGCACTCGCTACGTGCTGCTAATTTGAATTTGCCGCAACAGCAACAAAAATAACAAACATTGCAGCCATCACAACTGGTGCACTTGATTATTGCCACTGCTGTACATATGACGTGGCACACAGTTAGGCGAAGGTCGCAGATACAAAAAAGGCTACAAATTACAAATCATTTATAAAACATTTTAAGATATCAAAAAAAATGTCTTTTTAAAAATAATTATTCGTATATTTTTACGACAACTCTTTATTTTTATGGAATTGGATATTTCATTATTACTACTTGTATTTTCCAAGCAATATTTCTATTTGCACGTATTCGCGTATGTAATCATCTGTCGGCATAATTTATGCGCTCAGTGTGCATGTGCAACAAATAACACGCTTCCACACGCGCGCCGCTCAAATCAATTCAATTTCACCGCGTTCGAGTGCGCGTGAGTGCCGTCAAGTGTGGCAAGCGAAAAACGCAAAGTAAAGCGAGAGCAATTCAGTTTTAAGTGCAAATTCGCATTGCCACATTTAAGCAGCAAAAAATCGCACAATAATTTACCGTTTTTCATAATGCTTTCCGATTTTTTCGTGTTATTCAGTTATTTGCCAAGCATTTTTGGCTCTAATAACTCTATTTCCACTACACACACACACACAGTTACAATTTTTAAAAGAGTGGTTTTAATTGTTATACAAAAAAGTCGAATTATTGCAACAACAAGTGTGTTTATTGTAATATATGTTTGGTATTAATTAACGGACGGCAACGAGGTGCAGCGAACACGCAAAAGCGCTGTATTGCACGGCATCAACACACACACACATGTGTATTTATGTATAAATGTTATGTGTGGCTGTATGTGTGCTCATGCCACGCTAGCTGCATTTTTGGCGCATATTTCCAGCTAAATCGCTCATTTTTATGATTAAGTTTTTACTGTGTGTTTTGCACAACATTCGGATTTCATATTTTATTAGTTTTTTTAGCTTTTAATTGTTTTGAAATTAATTATTTTATTATTTTCTGCTTTTGATTTTGCTATTCCAACATGATCGGTGGCAAATGCAGTAGAATGCTTCAGTGATTTCAAATGAAGTAATTAAAAAAAATATAATACAAAAAATATTCAAGTGGGCTGAGATGTCGCAATTATGTGTATGTATGCCTGTATGTGCATTTTTATATCAGAAAACCTCATTTACAGTACGCGCGATAAGTATAAATACTTCAACTTTACAATTGTATGCTTTCTTAGAAGCAGAAACTCAAGTATTTTCGGTTTTTAAATTATTAGAAAATTAAGCAAAACACAAATGAAAATAATAACTATAAATAATAAACTTTAAAATGGCATTTAAAACGCTTTTAAGTCGCCACTGCTTTTATGTGACAGATATAGCTTCAAGCAAATATATTTATATATATACCATATATGTGTATGTACATACCTACATGTTTACAACTAAATGTATATATGATTGTACGATGTCATCTGTTTGCACCCGCGTAAATGACACAATCGGTATGTTATTTGGGCGATTTTTCAAGCCGCTGCCCCACAAACACACGCACACAATTGTGGGTGCACCTACATTTGATTCTCAATATACAAGTATGTACATATGAATAAAATGTTTTACTAGCACAAAAACCAACCATAACAAATCGAAGCGCGTGCGCAAAAGACTCGCCGATGTTACCACAACAGCGCCTGCAACAATAGCAATACAACAACATGAATGTATCTATACGAAAAAGTCACCCAAACACAGTCAAAGCGTTACCAAGCAACAGCCATCAACACACCAAAAAGCAGAAGCAACACAAAATTACATAAATTCAATTCGTTTTATGTTCATGATTTTTCATTTTTGCTGATTTCATTTTTCCATCGTTGCTGTTGTTGTTGTTGCTGCCGCCCGTTTATTGTAATTGAAACGAATGCGATTAACATAATTCACTTGTACTTAGTGGCGTTGTTGTCGCACACAGCGGTAAGTGCTTTTATTTGTAGTAGTTGTTGTTGCTATAGCTACTGCTGCCACTAAGCGCTTGTCGCCAGAAATCATTAGTTGGAGAATCACAATAATTGCCTTGGTCAAATTACACGACACACATACGGACTATGCTATCTACACGCATAAATATCTATTATATAATAATATGTATGTTTGGCTATGTGTGTGTGTGTTTGTAGCGGCGCAGACCTTGGCTGCTGATTTTCTGCAAAAAATGCGACAATAAAAAGACAATTGTACAAATACCACAGACTCAGCCAATTTGAAATTTGTTAGCGTGGACTTTTCTTAAGTGTACAGCAACAACAACAACAACTGCAACAACAATAGTGGTAAAGCTTACGCGCTAATGTATGGGAAAATAGTAAATCATCCGCAATTTCGTAGCTGATGATGACAATAATCATGTTTCAAATGGACGCCACACCTACACAAACAACAAAAAATACCTTAGAAATAATAAAATACACATACTACATGGCTATGTAATATTCGCACATTAAATGCCAGGTTTAATGCACATAAAGCGGAGGGGGAAGTGTATTTAATGTGGCTGATGTTGCTGTGTATGAAAATGTTTGCAAATTTTATTAAAAACTTTTAAAAATTTAAAACTAAAAAAATTATTTTTTTATTTGCTAAAATTAAAACCAAAATGTTACTTTAAAAAATTCAAAACACTGACCCATACGTAGTCTAGACTCTGACAGTTGAAATTTTAAATGCACCTGCTTTGAAATATTATATACATTTTTTATTAAAAAAAAATTTAATGTGAATATAAATTTTCGATACCAAAAATCATTTTGCTTAATACTTTTTGCTGCTTTTTATGCTTATTTATTTATTTTTGTCATTATAAAAATATTTTCCTTAAATTTAAGTAAAATATTTGCCACTGCGCGTCACCCAGATATTTAAAAAATAAAAGCGGCTCCTGTCTGGCGACGCCAGTCCATAAAAATCCACATCTGAGTGGAAAATACTTTATAAAAAGTCGAAAATTTCGCGAAAATAACTCATAGATAACGCAAAGGCAATTAAATAAAAGGAAAATCGTTTAATTTGCGCGTTTAAATCGAAGAAAAAATAAATAAAAATTATAGAAATCTGAGAAACATAAAAATTAAAAACACATATTGTACATGCATATGTATGTATGTGTATATGTGAGCAGACGATTTTTTATTTGCTTTTGATTTCATGCCAGCGAAACAGCGCCAATAAACGCGTTGTCTCAACAAAGAAGCGCGCGGCAGCGCTGCCAGCCGCAGACATACAAACGCACATATTTATATCCAAAAAAAAATTAAATAAAGACAAAAACAGCAACAAAAATAGAAATTAAGATAATTAAGCGCCTTATTACGGCAAAGTGTGGCACTTAAATGCCGCAATGCTGTAAAAGCACACACACATTTACATGCATATATATCTCTTCGAATTCTGGCCCCTACAATTGACTCACGCTCGCGGTTTGATGCGAGAAATGTTTGTGTGCATGCATCTGTGTGTATGTGTTGATATGCGTATACAGTTATTCTTAAATTTATGTTTGTTTTGCTGTAAGTCTTTTGCAATCTCAGCGATTTAACACATTGCTCCTCCTCTGCATGTGTTCGGCGATTCCCTAAGGGCCTGCGACCGGCAGCCTTGACTTGTGCCTGAGAGGGGGAACCACTTACTTTTGCTGCATATGTCTAACTCCCCCGCCTCCCATTGCGACTCCGCCAGTGCTGACCATTAATTACGAACAGAGCACAGCACAACACAGCATAGCATGGCATAGCAGACATTTGTACTACATACAGCGCTATCATATTTATTGGTCATTAAGTTAATCTAAAATTTATTCCTGGAAACTTCAAATTACGTACAACAACCGCAACAACAATTACTCATTGAGCGCACACATATTTACATTAATACAAGTATGTGAGTGTGTGTAACATAGTTACATGTGGAGCGCCATTAAAGCTCAAGGGACTCACCCAACAATTCTAGGCGTACTGTGGTACTGTCTCTGTGATTGTGTTGGCATATGCTATCGTGTGTTCATACTCAAAAGCCTCCGCCAGCTATGTACTATGCTAGTATGTGAGTGTGTGTGGGCATAATTGCGTTGGAATGTAGGGCAGAGCAATCTCGTAAAATGGCAACTGTCACAACCAAACACACGCTAATCCACTTGGGCTTAAATATGTGTACAGCTGTCAAGTTCCGTGTGTATGCGTGCGTGTATGTGTGTGTTTGCGAGCGAAGAAAAATAAAGCGCGTAAACGCCTGAAAACTTGCTACAACTCACTTCAAGTTGGCGCTGTTTTGAACATCTTTCATAAAGTTGGCGTGTTACAAAAAACAATAGCAACAACAACAGCAATGTAACAAGCGAACGCAAGCAGCTAGTTGTTAACTTGTGCGCGTTCTGCCGCAAGTTGGCAGCTCTTTTGGTGCACCATTTATTTTCCGCTGCCATTTTGTGGGCTCTGCTTTCGGTCCCAACGAAATGGGCAAGCATTTACATGCCTTAACATAACAACAGCAAATAAAATTTGAAATGTAAGAAATTTTTTTTAAATATATACATTTTTCTTACTAATATTGATGAATAAAATGAGAAAAAGTTCATCTAAGGAAAAATATAAATTAAATATTTTTTTAAAAATTACTTTAATAGTTTTAAGCATATATTCAAATTTAAAGGCCTCAAATTTTGAGTGTCGAAACTAACAGATTCGCCACACAGACAACTCATGTATGGACGTACGCACACGCACACACGATTACGCGAAACTGCATGTTTATTCATATTGACGATTGGCGCGACTGAGTTGGCGCTGATTGAGACTTCTTAAACCGCGAAAGAACCGCTAAATGGCATGGGCCTCGTTGTAACAACGGAAGTGGCGAAATGGCCGCACAATAGCCACACACACACATACATACAGCGTTTACAAGCCATTTACAAGTGGCTGTGTGTGCGCGCGTTGTTTATTGATGGAACACTTTTTTCTCACACTCTCGAAAATATTGAAAACTGATTTTGTTTTTCTTCTCCTCTCTTCCAGTTGCAATAACAAATTTAACACAACACAAAGATGCAAGCGCCGCGCGGATTAACGTCTGGCAGATAAACAAAAGCGCGCGAGCAGAAGACAACAAGACAACACTGAAAAAGTGGAGCAAAGTGAAAAAGCACACCAGTTCAACGCTGGCGCCAACAACACGTGAAAAATTGTGATAAACAAACATTTACAGTTTTTCGCTTTCAACACTTGCAGCGAAACGCGAAAGTTAAGCCAAAAGACTATAAGCAGCAACAACAACTAGCATAGCAAACATACACACACACACACCCATCCAAGAGGGCGCTAAGCGGTAATACATAAAAAGAAAATCCAAAGCGAAAACTACAACCATTGCAGCGAAAAAAATCATGGAGCAATTTGCGGCACAAATAAGGCAACAGCAACAGCAAGCAGAACAGCAGCAACAACAACAGCAATCTAGTGAAGCACTCGCTGCGGTTGAACAGCACGAACTGCAACAACAGAACAGCACCATTGTTGTTGTCGACGAGGACAACGACGAATTGCCCGCCATTGAAGCGACCATCATTGACATTCCAATGCCGGCAGCGCCATCACTCTCCTGTCCTACAGGCACGGCACCCGCGCCAGCGCCATCGTCCGCCCTGTCGTCGTCTTCGTCCTCCTATGACACGGACAGCAGCACGACGAGTAGCACATGTTGTGCGCGACACGGCGAACACATCTACATGGAGAAGGCACAACAACAACAGCAAAAGTCGCTGCAACAACAACAACAGCAGCAGCAGCAACACCAGCAGAAGGCGAAATACGCTTGCAACGCGGATGCGGAAGTGAGCTATTTGAAGAGCGAGTACAGGCTGCACTGGCCGTTCTTCATGCTGGCGATCTCCATCATTGAGGTAAGTACCAAGCAACCAAGCAAAAAACAAAGCAAATATTTAATGAGTGTAAAGGAGATAGCTGACAGAGTGTACGGCATTTTTGAGGTTAGTTCTGGTGAGGCGAATAGTTTCTTTATCAGCTTTTTCGAGACAAATATGAAAATGAGGAATTCCTGATTTTACAGGAATATATATTTTTAGCAAAAAATAAATAAAAATTAACTAATTTTGAATTACCCGAACTTTTTTTTTTCTCTTTTGACCTTTTTTGTTGTCTTTTAATTATTTTTCAAAATATATTCTCACATATTTCTCTATTTTCTATTAGGAAGCAAATTGATTGCAAATATTTGACGTTTTTGTTGTTGCAGTTTTTACCTATCAATTTTCGTTAGCAAAAAATACACACATACATGACTTTGCAATTTAAATATTTCGGTGTCTATTATCAAATTAAAAGGCAAACGCTCGCGCTTATTCCCGCTTTGCTTAATGAAATATAAAACGGCAATCGCAGAATTTGAAATTAATTGAATGTAATTAAATACTAATTCTGATAAAAATAATTAAATTGATTTATGCCAAAGTGCCAAAAAAGTATCGACTTAATCGCCGTTTAACGCACAAAAACACACATATTTTACACAAATATTTGTGCATGTGCATGTGTGCGTGTTGCAAATGCTTTCAACATTGTTGCGCTCCATTATTCATGGCATTCAAATTTGCCAAATACTTAAATTGATTACTGTTTATTGTTAGAAGTGCGGGGATTGATTGGAAATTACATGGAAATTTTCGATAATAATTTTTAGCAATTACTAAGTGGAATATTTGATATTTGCGAGGCATTAAATACGCGCGCTTTTCGTCGGAATTCTGAAATTTAAAAAATTTATGAACTTGGTTTTTGTTAAAATTTGTACTTTTTATTTTTCATTTTGAACGGTTTTTAATGAGTGCTACTTTACATACACAACAACAACCAAAATAATTTTCATTATTTATGTTTCCACAAAAATTTCACCATGAATTCTCCGAAAATAGCAGCTTGAAATTAATAATTTGCGCAGGAAAAGTTAAATTTCCGGAAAATGCTGTATAAATCCTAATTGAATATTGCCACTCAAAAATCTATTTCGAAATTAATCATTGAACGATGTTTTGCTAACAAAAACGCAGGCTTTGCCACAAACTAGCGCATATTTGCTCAATCAACGCAGCCTAGGCGCAAGAAAAATCGCCAATCTACACAAAAATAGTCACACGAGTGCCGCCGCGGCTACAAATCAATATGCCGTTACACCAGCAACGGCGGCGCTGTTGAGTGGCACAACACAAAAGCGGAAGTAGTTCTTTTATTCCACTACAACTAGTTGGTGTATAACAACAACAACAGTAGCAGCAACAGCAGCAGCTAACAAGCCAACGATTGAAACGACAGACGAAAAAACATGGCGCACGAGTCACATGGCGCCCCAAAATCGATTAAACATTGTCTGGTCCGATTCGGTCTGCCTTCTTGGCTGACAGTGGTTGCCCGGCACAACCACCACCAGCACAAACGCACACACACATATGCGGCGTGATGGCAGCACGCGAGGAAACAGCGCCACAACTACAAAATATTTAACTGACGCTTTGATAGCGACAAAGTTGTGACTTCATAACGAATTTTATTGGCGGCGGCGAACGCTACCAGCCGCAGCGCGCTGGACATGCACACCAATACTCGTGCGACATTGTTGGGGCAAGACGCAAAAAATGCGCACGTTACCGTGTTTACGCGTGCCGGTGTGTGTGTTTTCAGGCGCAGTGCCGCTTTGGACTCAAATCTAGTTGTTTTTGCTGTCGTTGTTGTTGCTGCTGATTTTATATGCGAAATTTATGCGTTGCCATTTTTCATTTTATTTCGCTATACTTCCGAAACTTCTTTGTTTCATTTCACAATTCACCGCGTGTGCTGTTGTTGTTGTTGTTGTCGTTTTTTGTTGTTGCTATTGTGAGCACAATGAAAAGCACAATAGAAGCGGAAGGACCTTTCAGAATATGCCAAAATCGAAGCGAGCAGAAAGAAGCGGCATGCATGACAGAGTTGACTAACTAGAAATTGGAAGCACGAAAACAAAAACAACAACAACTGCAAATAAACAGAAAAGGGAAAAGGCAGCGGCAAGCAGCAGTAAAAATCAGTGACATAAAAAGTAATGCATGCATTTGTGTGTGTGTGTGTATGTGTGTGCGACGAAAAATTTTTCAAACTTTTTCCAGATAGGTCCCAACGAATATTTGGACTCAATTGGGTTTGCTGTTTTTACAACTACATCTTCCCCTCGGTCTAAACATACTTCGTACACATCCACATGCAAATCTTAATATATACATATGTATATACACATGCATATATGTGTGTGTGCATGTACTCTCTTTATTTTACTCAATTCATTACAGCATTGCCTCGCTTTTTATGGCCACTCTTACATGTGTATCCACTTACATATGTGCGCCTGTGTGGGTGTGTTTTATATGGTTTCCGCATGCCAAGCAACAACTCGTGTATATAAAAATTATCCTTTTTATTAACATTGTTGTGGCAGCAATTGCCGCTGCGCACTCCCATTGTCCCTCGCTGCTCCCGCCGCTGCGCCCACTTCTTTGCAACTTTCACAAGCGATTCGAGACTTTTATGACAACCACTCCACTTCAGCCAATTGAGTTTGCTTGTCCGCACACAAAACAATATTACAGCGCTTTTCGTCAATGTTAGGTATTGCGCACGGATACAAGCAAATATATGTCGCCTAAATGTATGCTTATGTTTTTGTTGAGATATCTGGGAAAGTTTAATTTCATGAAAAAATATTTTCTTTTCAATATTTCAATTTTTATCTGGAAATGAGAAATGAACCAAACAAAACTTTAAAATTTATTTCCTCTCCTATTACATACATACATATGTACATACATACAAAGTGTGGGAAATAGTTTACAAAACATTTTTCTTGCGCAATTTCATAGAATTTCCCTCATTTATTGCACGTGAATGCACAAAGCGAAGAAAATTTATGGCAATTTTCGGCCAGAGCTAAATGAATTTCAACTCCACCTGCAGAAATATTTATTAGCACACAGCTGCCGTTATAATAAGCTGACCTTTGGCTGACATTTTAATCTGAAGCCGCATTTTCGAAATATGCTGCTGTGAGCATTGCCAAACGCTGGCAGAATTCAGTTGCGCGCACAAATTGTAAGCTTGACCTTCTTGGCAGCAAAAATACTAAAAAGCAAAAAAAAATTTGAAAAACTTACCTTTCGACGGAAATAAAGTTAGCATTAATTGAAAAACCGAAGTTTCGGAACCATTTTCTCATGCTTTATATATTACTTTTATTTATGTGATTGTATTTTCTTTCATCCCTCAACGTTCAGACTAATAAAAAAATAATTTTTTCTCATTTGCAGGTCGCAATTTTCGCCTACGACTCCGCCACAGTTCCGGGCACGGAGGCCACACGCGAACTCATTCCACACATGCCCATCGCCTCCGACTCGGTGTTCATCTACCGGCCCGACCGCCGTCTGCAGGTGTGGCGCTTCCTATCCTACATGTTCCTGCACGCCAACTGGTTCCACCTGGGATTCAACGTCGTCATCCAACTCTTCTACGGCATACCGCTGGAAGTGATGCACGGCTCGGCGCGCATAGGCATTATTTACTGTGCAGGTGTGTTCGCCGGCTCGTTAGGCACGAGCGTCGTTGACTCTGAGGTGTACTTGGTGGGCGCCAGCGGTGGCGTATACGCAATGCTCGCCGCACACTTGGCCAACATTACGCTCAACTACAGGCAGATGCGCTACGCGGTGGCGCAGTTGCTGTCGGTGCTGATATTTGGTAAGTTTTCGTTGATTTTCATTTCGATTTGATTTTAATTTGATTTGTTTACGCTCTACCCGTCAGTGCTGCGTTGAAATGTGTTTGAGTGCCAGCCTAATCGGCAGTGATATGGTTTGACCTCATTCTATGGGGGCGAAAAGTAAACACATTTCGTTACGTTTTCACTCTGCGTGGAGTTTCGTAGATTATTTTTGTTTTTGTTTCCTTTTTGTTGCGGATTCTTTGCGTAACACTTTTTTTCGATAAACAAAAGTGTAATTTGTACTAATGTGCACATCATTGCTTTTGCTCTTCTCCTCTCTTGCAGTATCTTGCGATCTGGGATATGCATTGTATTCACAATATCTGGATGCCGAGGGTGTGACCAAGCCCACGCACCTTGAGCACACCTGGCCCAACATCGATCCGCCGCCAGTCTCGTATGTCGCACACATGACCGGCGCTTTGGCGGGCTTCACCATCGGTCTGTTGGTGCTGAAGAATTTCGAGCATCGCGCCTATGAGAACCTCATCTGGTGGCTGGCGCTGGGCGTCTACAGCGCCTTCACCGTCTTCGCCATTGTCTTCAATCTGATCAACACGATGACCGGACAGCTGGTGGAGGAGCGCAGCGAAGTTGTGGCACAGCAGTTGTTGTACGATTTGGGTGTGTCGTAAAAAGTCTGTTTGCGTAGGACAGTTAAGTGAGAGAATTTATGCAAAAACAATATAAATGCGTGAATATTTGAGAACGGAGTGATATTTCTAAAACACGATAAAACCGCTTTCACTGCAAAGTAAGCGTAGATGAGCAAACTAAAATTGAAATTGGCGCGAATTTAGCGCTACCAAAAGATATTTGTTGTATAACATTTTTCGAAAAATATCCGCTTAAAATTTCACGCATTTCTGTTAGCCACAATTATTTATTTGTTACTATTTAACTATATTTTTTCGTCGTTGCTGTTCTTGTTTAATTTATTTTTTGACTTTATTTAAATATCTTTTGCATGGAACGCAAATAAAACCCCAAATCGTATAAACAAATGTTGTGATAATACCAAAGACTGAATTAATTTTGAAAATGAAAATGATAAACACACACAATCATTGTGTGGCCACTCCCATACACACACACATACGCGTGTAAATTCAAGTACGCTTGAACGAAAATTAATTTTAACATTAAGAATTGTAAAAAACATTTATTTATTTAATTTAAATTTATATTACGTAATTATATTGTAGGCATCAATGCACAATCGGGTCACACAACCAAATAGTAGAAATGCGGTTAGAGTGCATTCTTTGTTGTCTGTACATATACACCGAAAAGGTTAGATAAGTCCTCGTTACCCCCCGCAAAACACACATACATATGTAAGAGAGTGCGAAGCTAGGCGCACAATAGTCGCCGAGTGTCGCATTTTCACAAACTAACGCACTAGTCAACCAAATCGAAATAAATAGCAAATAAAAGAAAAATGCAGGCGACAATGGGCGAGCAGAAGGTCGGAAATGAAATGTGAGAGCAGAAAAAAGGGAAAAATTCATTCAAAAAAGTTTGAAAACCACACAAATTAAAAAAAAAAATCCGCTTTGAATTCACTAAAATAATTCCAAATATTTTGGCTTTACTCTTGTTAGGGCCTTTCCGTGCTGTCGTTGCCGCCTACATTGTCGAAAAAGGAAAGAAAGAGGAAGAAAAATCAATGCTTGTAAAGATATGCATAACTGTAAAATCGTTACTACTATACATATGCTTATACATAATTGAAATATTTGTTGCGAGATTATTTTTTTAGTATATAATACTATTTAATACCATTTTCTATCTAGTTTAGAATTGCGAAATATGTTTTTTCTTATGGCGAACCCTATCGTTAAGCTAAAATTTACTTTTAATTTAAACTCACAGTGTTTTTGCATACAATTTGTATAGTTAAAAACAAAATTTGTAATAAATAGAAACATATGTACTAGGAATGTAAGCGCCTGTTAATAAAACTGAAGCAGAAAGTATATCTAAACTAAAAAAAGAAAAGTAATTATTCGTAACGAACACTCACATATGAACCAAAGAGAAAACAAAAAATCAGAAACTAAAGAAAGTGAAACACAAAAAACAAAAAAATACAATACAATAACAACACTAAACTTCCGAGGATTAGAGCAGAACTGCATACCAGTGATCTTGGCTCCCACAACATTTTCTACAACATTGAAAAATAGAGAAAACAAGTGCACAAACCAAAAAAGTTTTTAATTATAATTTGGCTAATTAGTTTCGGTTTGAAAACTGCTAAAAATTATATTAACAAAAACAAAGAAAAGCATATGAAGCATACACTAATTAACCGACAGCACACGCACACGCCAATTACGTCCAGTAAATAAATAAACACACACACATACACACACAACTATTTGTAAATGTCCAAAAAAGTAAAGTTAAATCAATATTAAATAACCGTTAATCAAATGTAATTATAAAATTGAAAATTCAACTACTAAAAATCTCACTTGATACCACCCAGACTTAGTACGTCACAGGTATGTGTGTGTATGTGCATATTTGTAAATATGTATATTGCATGCATGAACACCTCCACCACCAATCCATTGAGCCGATGGTCAACATTGAAACTTATTTATTTATTGTCAATATGAAAATGCAATGCCAAATAGAAATCCCAACAAGTTACACTTGTAATCTAATAAATATATGTATATGTATGTATTGTCCTACAATTACAATAACCAAAAATAAAAAACGAAAGAAACTGTAAACATAACTGAAAACAAAATATGCATATGTATGGAAAATCTCTGTAACGGTACTGTCAAATATTCAAAAAAAAACACACACTGAAATTATATACTTATACGAAAATTGTATGCATTGATGAAAAAAACAACAACAATAATGAGAAAACACAAATCACAAAAACCAAAATCGAAAACGAAGCCGAAAGTTAAAAAGTGAAAAGTGAAGAGAATGCATTTTTCAAATACGTGTGCACACCCGTCAGCAGCAACAAAAGAAATTAATAAAAAATTAAATGTTTAAAACAAAATTACATCCAAATGGCTTATTATTTACTTTCCTACTTGTATGTATATATAGCAGCTACCGACAGATGTAAGTATATTATGAAGCGAAACCGCATATATCTTAACAGGGTAATACTTTGAATAATAACAATTATAAGTATTCGCGTCATCCAGTATATTTAAAAAAGTTAAGCGAGCCTTATTTATCGCTTGAAAATCTTATGAATTTCCTTGCGTCTTTGAAGCGATATGGTCATGGGTGAATTTGAAAAGAAAAAGATTACGAAAAAATATTTAGTATTACTTCAGGAGACTAAAACCATAACCTTTTGAAGCTTTTAGAAAGTTACATACAAGTGTATTGCAATAGGAACTTAGAGCATTATTGGTACCTAAAATAATGAATAACAGTCTGGGTTACATTATATTCTATTACTTTTATATTCTAAAAATTTCCCAACTGAATGTCTCGTGCATCCTAACGTAATTTAAGGAAAGAACGATATTATATTTAGTAACACGTTCGGAAATAAATATTGGAAAATCTGCTCCGGTTATTGTTGCTGTGGTGTTTCCAAATAGATATAAGGGACAGTACTCTGCTTAATTGAATGTAGTCCAACTTCAATTCCGGTTACATCATTATATCATTCGACGAGACTTCACTTACGTTCCACGTCAACTCTACTGAATAATTCTCATCACTTATGCAGCTGTCGATTATAAGTCTAGTACATAACCGATTACAGACACTATAAAAATCTTAAACAATGGTAACGTTCTCAAAATCGATTTTATCTCGTTAGATTTGAGAGCTATTCAGTAGAAGCAGTTTTAACTCAATAAACTATAGTCAAAAGATTCAGTTATAGCCAACACTACCAAGGCTGTGAGTAAACTTCTGCTAGATTCAATCGACAAGGTCAATGAACTTTTCACAAATATTTGCTAGCCACACCTCTGGCAAGAAATGTGAAAATAGATGCAACTAATAATAAAGAGGTACACAATTTTTCACCTACTTTTTACTAAAATATAAAGTATGGTAAGGCGAGAATTGCCACGTTCCCGGTCTGAATACTTGCCGGGCTATGGCTATAACACGGAACTTAAAATAACCCAAAACCCTGAACAAATCAGCGACCAAAGGCATACAAACGAAATATTAAATAGCCAACACCTTCGTTGATATACATTAATCGGATTTGGTATTATTATAATATTTAAATACTTCTCATTGCATTTAGCTGAAATTTCATTATTTAATATTATTACTTATGCATATGGATATGTTTATTTTTATCATTCACAACCGAATACATGTTTATTCGCCGAAATGTTGCCTAAAAGCTTTTAGTAATTTTCATTTTAGGCATTGCATATTAATGGATTCCATTTTATTATCAAATGCATATCTGTCATATGCAATAAATTAGTTTTTAATACACGCATGTGTATGAGTGCACATTTCAATTGGCGTAAATAATATTTAAATCTGAATAATTTGTAATCACACGTTGTTCTGTACGTTTACATCATAATTTCGGTATCAGAGAAATGTTTTTACCACTGACGCAGGAGCGATTTGATAACACTATATGGCGTCCTCTTCAAAATATATATCAACTTTTATCTTGAAGCTAAAATCTTTGAAAAATAAAAAAAATCAATATTTGAACAAGTAGGGAAGGGTAATCAAACATTTTATACTCTTGCAACTTGCAAGGATCAAGGCAGGGGAAATAACTTCAGGTATAGCAAAACTTTATATTAACCTAGAGAAAACGTTATACCATAAAAGGTTATAAAAAGATCTTTATCTTGATATTGATCGAACAGTGTATAGTGGTCCGGTCTGAACAATATGTTCGTAGATTGTAGTGTTTGACAATAATCCATGCCAAATTTCGTGAAGATATATTGTCAAATAAAAAAGTACATACGAGCTATTGATTTTGACCGATCAGTTTGTATTACAGCTATACCGTATATATAGGTATATATATATATATATATATATACATATCGTTCCGAGAAATGAGCAGTTCCTTGGACAAAATAAACGTATACAACTTTGTTTACACTATAAGGGGTCAATTACTATTTGTTTACATTTTATAAGGTTAATGACCCTTTTGTTCACATATAGCTAAGTCCTCAACTTTTGTTTACATTTAGCCAAGTCCACAATCTTTTTTTACATCTCATACAATCACCCTTTTGTTTTCCTCTTGTTTGCTTTTGAATAACTTCTGCTTTGAAACATAAGAGAAGCCTACAAATTAAAAAAAAACACATTCTTTCAAGAAGCCTACATTAGCCCTCATTGTCCACATAAAATTTAGAAGCATCCAAATTATACCGTAGAACGCAACTATTGCTTAGTCTTAATATAATAGGGGTCTGACAATTCTGACTACCAGCTCACCACTCAGTGTCTCCTGTCTTCCAGACATAAGAAAAACAATGTCATTAAAGAAATGCTTGCATCATTTACTTCAACGCTTATTTAATAAATTAAGTACAAGCGGAAGATATCTTGGTATGACATCTCTTATTAAAGGCTTTAAAATTGCTGCAGGCATTTCAAGCGAAGTGTTAGCCATTCTTTAAAATAAATGCTAAAAATTCCACAACAATTGTATTTATCAGAATTACGCAAAACATTTAATGCAACAAACACATACATACATACACGTGTGAATATTCAGTTGCAGTAAAACCGCAATAACAGAAACACAGATCATTTTACAAAACTCAAGTGCAGCAAAGTCCTGCCACGTTTGCCAATCTCGGGCAGTTGCCATTTATGTGCACACAACCACAAGTATATATGTATTAAGTGGCGTGCTGTAACATGCATACAAACATATATGAATGTTAAAAAGTTGTTTGGGCGCGCAACCGAAATGCAAACGTATTGCGAATGTTGCCTTTATCATAAGCGGTGGCGATTTCTGCGAATGGCAGGTGCAACCGACCACTAAAACCTCACAAATAACAAAGCACCAAGCCCAAATGCCTGATCCACACACACGAAATTGCGCATAATCAATGGCATGGCGCATGAATCAGAGCAAATGGAGCAAAATTTCACAGCTGATGCGAATATTGGCAGAATTTTGATCACTTGCCACTCACCACTCGCCTCTCACTGCACACCAATACGCCTGTAGCCAACAGTGAAATGCCACCTGCCGCCGTGATGAACAAACTTCATGCCTGATACATACAAACTTATGTAAAGACATATTTGGATTTTCGAATAATTTTGTTTGTGCTTTTGTTTAACATGTGTACATTCTTGTTTTCTTGCAATCTGAGTTGTCACTTTGCTACAGCCCAGGGTTTAAAACTCTTACTTAACTTCACGCTGTCAGAATGTCACCTTTCCTAAAATGTTTGGAAATTATTGAACCGGTATTTTCCAAATTTTATTAAAAAGTTGGCATTGAAAGGTGCTACCATCTTAAAATCATTGACTATCCTTCGACGGGCTGGTAATAACAGATTTTGAACCACAAAAGCGTTTACTCGCCAGAAAAAAGTGATGCCATTTCAAAAATTTATATATTTTTTTTTATTGTTCGACTCGATTCAGATGCATATTCACAACATATTTTTGTGCAGATCTCAAATAGCAGATCGGAGCTTTTTACTGGCTGACTTTCT